ACTTTCCATTTTCAACAGAGTTTCCACAATCTAACACTACAAAAGTCTAAAAGTCTGAAAAGACCAGTTTTTGTCTTAATTTGCATGAACTTTTACTCGACATTCTTCAAAAGTATGACTTGTGTCTTAATTTTTCTTGACAAATTCTCATTTATATTAAATTTGTATGAAATTTACTCGACATATTCTCGACATTCTGAATATGGTCTTAAAATTTCTTGACAAATTCTTGACTTTTGAATACTGTCTTGAAATTTCTCGACATATTCTCGACATTCTTATTTTTTCTCAGTATGGCTTGATATATTCTGAACATTTTGAATCGTGTCTTAAATTTACTTGCAATTCTGAGTTTTACAAATCATGACCAATATTCATGATATAACTTTAATCTTTATTTCTCTTTATATGATATACTGTTGTTTCAAGTTGCACTTCTTTACAACAAAAATAAAAGTTGGGCATGTAAAATAATTGAAAATTTGGGTATATAAATATTTTTACAAATGCAAATATGGCTATGAAATCTAAAGTATAAAATAATTCAAATGTGGGTGTGTTGATATAAAACAATTTCAATGTGGGTTTTTAAATAATTACAAATTTTGATTCCTAAATCTTATAAATTAAATGATTCAAACCAATCATACTGTACACATATTTCATTCTACATTCATAATATTCAATGTTGATATGGTAAATAATTATTATACCAAAATGTGGTTTATATAAATAGCAAATTATGATGATATACAAATCATTCATTTAACAGAAGAAGAATTTGTGTAATGTCATCTGTTGGAATATATTAAGTATTACACATGGACAGGATGTTCCCCATAAAATTAAGGTATTCCACACCCCAGAGTACACGCAACTGTCAAATAGAAGTTATTGCTTTACCTGTAATCAGCCATACAACTTATCAGTTGACCGACCATGCCACTACAATTTAAAAAGTTTGTTGATAGATGAAAATGAAAATCATCATTTTGATGAAAAAAAATTGAATTGAAATGGATTTTCTTCATCAAAATTATGAAGTTAATTATTTTAACATAAAAACAAATTGAATAATTCCCAAAGATTAAAAGAAAATTATTATCTACTCCAGGAATAATAAAAAAAAAAATGTATTTATAATGGGTCCCACACAGACTTGCATAATATAGATCTAAACATTTTTTTCTTTTCAGGAAGGAGTTATCACAAATATTTATTTTTGATAAAAAAATTATAAAATTCAACACTCAAATTTGAATAAAAAATGTTTTTGGGTTGTTCTAAAAAATGAATAAGGTTTTTGAATCAAGATGGGAACAAATTCTTTGACCTAAACGAAAGCCCCCCCCCCTCTTTTTTTAGCCACACAAACCCAAAAGATGAATTGTGGGGTCCAAAAGAGATACAAGACACCTATTTTAGTAAAGCAAATTTGACTGGCAGTTTTGCGAACGGCAAAAATCTAAATGCTGTTTGTCAATACCTTTGACTTATATTCCAAGTGAAAACAATTACTTAAATGTTTAATAAAAATAAATCAAAATTAAACTACATGTGGGATTATTCAGGGTATTCCAACTTAGTTGCACCAAAAGGGTATCTTACTATACCAAATTAATCCTTGATTCTTCAAAGTTTAGTTTATCCATAATAAAAAGGAGTATACAACAGCAATAGAATGTCATAAACAGTGCAGAATAAGTCTGTTCACATTTCAGGCGAAATTTATACTGTTGAGATAGTGTCAAGACATATTTAAGACTGTCAAGAATGTGTCGAGACATATTCAGACACTATTTAGAATGTCAAGAATATGTCGAGACATATTCAGACATTATTAAGAATATCAAGAATATGTCAAGACAGATCGAGACAAATTTAAGACAGTCAAGAATTGGTCGAGACTAATCCAGACTCTTATCAGATGATACAGGAAGTGTCGAGAAATTTTAAGACAATGTTCATACTGTCAAGACACTTGTCAAGAAAAATCAAGAACCTTATTAGACAAATTCATACTATGTCAAGAATTTTTAAAAATTATTCAGACAAATTAAGAATGTCGAGTAAAAATTCATGCAAATTCAGACAAAAACTGGTCTTTTCAGACTCTTTGACTTTTGTAGTGTAACGAATGGTGAAATATATAAGTAAGTGAATCTTCACTGTACTGTTATAGAATTACATCTATGCATGCCATATTCGCATTTGGTCCCAGATTAGAAAAATAGGTAAATAGTCTGAAATATTTATTGTTGTTTACGTAAACAATGTTTTATAATTGAAAACCTTTTTTTTTTTAGATTTTCAAGTCAACAGGTATAGGTAATTCAGATGAATACAATTTTAATGTAATCTTAAACATTAAAAAATGTTTTGTTTTGTCGAATGTGTTATAGGTATGAGTATAGTTATACATGAATTAATTGTAAGAAACACGTTAATACAGTTTTATATGCAAGTTTTCACGCACATACTTACGTTTAGGAACGTGAATGATTTTACTTTTTTTTTTATTCGATCAATTTATGTGACCTTGACATCAGCGATGTTCTTCCCACGTATGAGTATGAGGACCACCTAACAGCTACCAAAGTGCCAACAATAACCAACAGCTAAGTACTATGGAAGGTACGGAAATCCTAAACACACGTATTTTTGTTTAGTTTGGCCTTACACAGTGTATTCAATAAATGATACTCGTAAGACCAACTAATAAACAATCGTAATTCACCTATTTTACCATCTTTTAAGCGGAAAGGTAAACATCCGTTATGTAACAAATTATGCAATATACATAACCGTATGCCAATCCCCAGATATTAAATGTCATATTGGAATATCAATGTTTATTGCGTCGTTGAATTTGGTTAAGTGTTTCATTTATGTATATCCAATTCTATTTTATTTATTATGAGAGAGAGAGAGAGAGAGAGAGAGAGAGAGAGAGAGAGAGAGGAGAAGGGGGACCAGTTTTGTTTGGAAGTTCACATTGCTCATGAAAAAGCAATTTACTAAAATAATCTGTACCACACAAGTCACCTGTATGTATAACTTATAATGTAGCTTTTTTTTTTGTAATAAATAAGATTGTAAAGAAACATGAGAATACATTGATATTTTAGTCTTTGATGCATAATTTTGCATTAGTTGTTATTGGCTTTGAACTAACTGTCAGTAACTGCGAGTACTCTCAGATCTGTGCGTCGTGTCTCTTTTGTAGTGGGGATGTATAAGTACCCTGCCACGTCCGGTCTGTGTTTTTGTTAGATGTATTTTTGTTTGCTTTGTATCGATCTGATGAGTTTATCCCTTTTCAACTGATTTTTGTAGTTTGTCCTTATGTTGTACTGTTACCACTGTCCAAAGTTAGGGAAAGGGTTGGCGCCTTCAAACTAGCTTAACCTCGCCAAATTATATATGTGCATTGTCCCAAGTCAAGAGCCTGATATTCAGTGGTTTTCGTTTGTTGCTGTATATCATATTTATTTTTCGTTCATTGTTTAAACATAAATCAGGCCATAAGCTTTCTTACTTGAATTGTTATACATTTGTCATTTCGGGGCCTTTTATAGCTGACTATGCGGTATGGGTTTTGCTCATTTTTGAAGGCCGTACGGTGACCTATAATTGATAGTTTCTATGTCATTTGGTCTCTTGTGGAGAGTTGTCTCATGGACAGTCATACCACATCTTCTTATTTTTACATCTACATGTATGTGTACAATTATTGTATGTTTTAAGATGACCTTTCGATTGATTAGTTGTTGTTTGCATCAGTGTTTGGGGAAACTTTTATTAACAAATGTAATAGAATACAAACTATTGTTACTAGTAATATAAAAATGTACAAAGTAACGATTAATTGAATCGTTAGTTTTTAAAGACAAAACAAATTAATGAACTATATATATTAATGTTATTAAATGTAATATGCAACTGTTCACCTTGTAAAAAACTAGCGTATGCATGCAAGTAAGTACCCAAATGTAATAGGTTGCTTTATATCAGGCGAAGAACAAATAAGCATTTAAAATTTATATTTCACTTGAGGGTACAAAAATGTTGTATGTAACTTTACATCTGGTGGAGAACTAACGTATGCATAAATGCAGTACAAAAATATACAAACACTCAACAAAGCTAGATGGATTTTTGTCTTGTAATTATCAATATAAGATTCAGCAAAAACCTATTGTCTAGGATTTTAGGATGTTCGCTCCTCTTGTTTAATTTTTTGTAAGATTTTCGGAATCATCTGGTTTTATCCATGTAGTGCCATAAACATTTTTGGCCGCTAACCCCTACTTTTCATTTCACTATTTTATTACATATAGTTTTAAAAGCCATATTTGAAAATCTTATAAAAATCCATGTTTTTTTACATAGTTTTTGAAAGAATAAAGGTACCACTGTTAAATGTATGAAAATTCTAGAGAGAATCATTTCCCGCCAATTTTTCAATGGCATACATCTGGAAAACAAAGACACGGACCCTTCATTTTTTTGTTTTTTTAGTTCCATTATTTATATACTATCAATTTATAAAAATCTTGTTATTTTGAAACAGAGTAGCGAACATCCTTAATATACAATATCGTCCTCCTTTCCTCGAAAGTTACATACCAAATAAGACTCATCACTGTGTTGCTTTTCTATGAGCAGCACGATGGGTGCAACAAGTGGATCTTCTTACCTATCCCGAGCTCATAGGATCAACCCTGGTTTTTGATGGGGTTCGTGTTGCTCGGTCTTTAGTTTTCTATGTTGTGTTTTGTATACTGTTGTTTGTCTTTTAATAGAGTGTCCAGAATGATATCCATTCTAAATATACATGTACATCAGACGAAAATAGATAAACAAAAATAGAATTCTTTTTTGGAAACGATTGGTCTTCATGTTATAAACTTTCAAAGGTATTTGTAAACCAGATTTGAATCGTTCTGGCTTCTGAATATTTTCAGTATCACCCAATAAAAACGAAAGTAAAACATACATATGTAATATAGACCTTTAATATAAAAGTAATAAACAAACTAAAAAATGATTGTTAAATTTTAAAAGGAAAAATTACATTAAATTAACCCTTGAGCAAAAATGTATACATCAGAAAAGAACAGAACATAACCGTTGTTAATGACAACTGTATCAGCTGAGCTGACGATGTTATTGGAGAAAACGAAATTACTCGACTGGTTCTCTTGCCATCTGCAGATCTGTAAATTTAAAAACTATGAGGTAAAAATACTTGTAATCAAAATACGAAGGTATTGTTTGAATATCAATTATACAACTATCTTAAACACAAAACGTGGATGTAAGTGACTATAGTTCACTGTACGAACTTTCTTAAAACTCCATACATTTTAGTCAATTATGAAAGGCCCCTACAGGACAAAATGCGTTCAGCACCTTTCAAGCAGCTTTCCTCGATGTATTCTTTTTTTATTTGCAACTGTGTTTTGTCATAAATTCTGCCTACACCTAAAACTGAAACATCTATATCAAACCAATATGAAATATGATAAGTTATGACTGACGATGAGACTATTCTAGAAAATAAGGTTAGCGCGAGCTACATGAACCAAAACCGAACAATGAAACCTTATGGATCAAAGCTGCTCTGTCATTTATTCAGAAAAAAAGTTTCTTAAAACTAATAAAGATCAAAATCTTCAACCACAATCTTTAGAAATTTGCAGTAACATATAAACTTTTGATGTTTCTAGGCTTTACACTTCTATTACTCATGATAAACTTAAAAGATGGAATACACCTTCTCATTAACCGCCTTTTCTACACACAATGGACATCGTAGATACACATTGCTTGTTTAGGTCAAGAAATATTACTTTGTAAAGAGCCACACTGATTCAAACAGCAAATACACAAAAACTGCTTTCATCAATATGCTGGACTATTTGATCGACGACACATTTGTTCAGTTGTTCTCAAAGACAAAAAAGCACGAAAAGGTGTTTTAATCTCACGTTCAAAAATATTGATGACTGATGACTGTTACTTGATTAACCACATCTGCTTCATATTACGATGGTTTCCTTGATATTGACACCGATCGACGACTTCCAACTCAAATCTATGATTAACGCGACGATTTCACGTTTTAATATCTTAGCATTAGTAAACCCTGTAGCACATCGTATGCTGTTTGTATATATTTGAATGAATACGTTATTTTGGTGCATCAACACACTATACAAATTGGACTACGATAAAATATGATGTCATTTTGACTTATTATAAGCAAACCCTCCCCCCCCCCCCCCCAAAAAAAAACAACAATGTTAATTGGGTGAAGAGGTACCAGTGAGGACTGTTTACCAAACAGAGACACTAACTCGTGGAAAATGTAAACGAAGGATACTTATTGTCATGTGCATTCAATTCCTGGTAACGACCTTAACTAATTTGTAAGGTTGCTGTGAAACCAAAATAAAATAAGTGAGGACACAATGTACAATATTATAAAAGGGTTAATGTTCTGCACTAAAGTTGAGAAATATTGTCCCTCGCAGTATATCATATTGCACTCGCAAGATCGCGATAAATGATAGTCTAACAATACTTCTCAATATATTCAATAATCCTAATCTATATTTTCGGGTCTTCCAAGTGCTTCATGAAACCGCTTTCTAAATTATCAACATCAATTTTATCAGCAAGCAATCAAATCCGGGCTTCAGAGCTGTTGTGAAACTATTTATCAAGGGGCCGTGTAAATCAGAGATTGAAACTAAAAAAATCAATCATTCGGTAGATAAGATACAATTTAAGTATATTTCCTCTTGCAATAGTATTAAAACATTTGACTTTTCTTTCCTCTACACAAATATTTTCTATTCAAAATTAAAAGACAAATCAAAAGAATTTGTCCTGCTTTGTTTACAAAAAAAAAAAAAAAAAAACCGAACGGGCAGCAACGATACAAATATCTTTTTTTAGAGAGGGATAAATCGTACTTCGTACAAAAGACCACTCTGATTCAAACATAACAACCTATGATACTGACATTATCAAGGTTCTTGATTTTTTGAATTATAACACATTTGTTACATTCGGTGTCCGCATAGGAACCAGCTGTGGTCCTCCTCTTGTCGACTTGTACCTTTATTTACATGAGGCAGACTTCATACAGCAGCTTTTTAGGAAGAATGAAAAGAAACTAGCTGTACCTTTTAAATTCACGTTACGCTATATAGATAATGTCCTCTCATTGAATAATTTAAAGTTTTGTAACTATATACATGTGTATTTTTGAACGCATCTATCCCATCCAACTTGACATAAAAGATACAACAGATACAGTCCACCTCAAATCTTGACTTGCATCTAGAAATTGACAAATAGGGTAGGTTGAGAACAAACTTTACAACAAGTTAGATGATTACAGCTTCCCAATTGTAAACTTTCTATTTCAAAGTAGCAACATTCCAGCAGCGCCTACATATAGAGAATATATTTACCAGTTTATGCCAGACATCAGAGCTTGCAATTAGGTCATCAATGCTCTTTAAATTCGTACTTTTAAATATTTTGGATTTGAGCGGTACTGATGAGTTTGTAGACGAACAGCGGATCTGGTGTACAAAATTTTAATCCTGGTATCTATCATGAGTTTATTCCTTTGATGATCTCCTTGTTATAGGTGTTGCTAATTACAACGAAGCTATTAAACCAAGAGTTTCAAGTGGTGAAGTTAAAGTCATCCCTTTTCAAAATTTTACAGACGCCATCACGAGTTAGTTGACGGTTATGAAATATCTGTCTTACAGATGACGAAGGATATGTTACAATTGTCGTAACCAAAATCCCGTTCTCTTTTCTACAAATGTGACCATCTGAATTAGACATATCATCGGGTTTATACTTACATGAGTAAAACGACCGGTTCCACATGTGAAGCAGGTTCTGCTTACACGTCCGGAGCACATGAGATCACCTCCTGATTTTTATTTGGTTTGTGTTGCTTAGTCTTTAGTTGTTCGTGTTGTGTTTTATAGACTGTTGTCTGTCTTCTGGTCGTTTTTCGTTTTTTTGCCAAGGTATTGTCTGCTCGTTTTATACTTATGAGTTTGACTATCCCTTAGGTATCTTGAGCCTTTATTTTATTTAAAAACAACGATAACTGATAGTTATTACAGTAATACATACTTTGTTCTTAGGAAGACAGGTGATCCTGTGTATAGTATCGTTCCATTATTCCACGTCTGAGAGTTGGTGCTAAACTCTACACTCAGTCCTGGGAAAGCTGTGTTGAATTTGATCTCGTCACCTTCTAGACTGCAAACAATTAGGTAAATTAACTTAGTATGACTTTGTAGTTTTATACGTATATATTACAAAATGTATGCACTACCGTCTGTTGGGTATTGTTATAAGCGTTTATATTGTAAAATATTATAAACTGACCTCTTACAAGTAGCCATCTTCTGTTTGTTTTATTCTTGTTTAATTTTGTTCTACTTAGATGACAATTTTGTGTACACATTATAAATTATATCCAACAATTTTTCTTCATCGAAAGCATTTTACTGGTTGAATACATTTCTTCAGGCCAACGATAATGGTAAATGACAGATTATTTTACTTTGTAAAAGTAATATACCAGAGAGCAAGATTAGTTTTTAGCTACTGCTCTTTTACTAAATAGGATAATGTGTTCCAATTCCCATTATTTTAAAGCAGAGCTTAGGACATATAACTAAGCTTCTTTTGTAATAAATTAATACATAAGCTTCTTTTGTAATAAATTAATACACAAGTATATTTGTATTGCTATACCATAGAGTTATGAACACTCATGGTCATATACTTTTCCGCTACTTATAAATGTTGCCATTGCACAAGGTCATGCTTATCACAGACTGTTAATGACGTCTTCAACGTAAATCCGTTCGATTAGTACTGTTCGATATGTTAGTCTTGGATAAAATGATATATAGTTATTCATAAATTGTATATGCTTTGAACAAGCTAGCGGTAACTGAGAATACTAGGAGATTGGTAAAATGTCTCTTTTGTCATTTCCTTAGTCGTTTTGTGATTCGAGCCGGTCTAAAGAGTCAAGTCCTTACCAACTAAATTTAATGGTTTGTACATTTCTCGTGCTGTAACACCATTGTACGGTTTTAAGGTGTATACTGTGCGCTCGAAAACACTTGAACCCCGTCACATTCTTTATAAGTTTCAACATAATTGTATTTGCTAAATCTAAGCAAAATGGATAAGACACAAATAAATCATACTTATTAAGTCTTCTCCATTATGAAATATATATATATATATATATATATAAACACCAAGTTTATTGGACTATAATTGAAAAAAAAAAGAAGCAAAGGTTAAGAAATGAGGGGAAAATTCAGACTAAATTATAAATATTGTTTTGGGAGGAATTCTATTGTTTATTCTACATTTTGTTTGTTCAAGTTACTGACTTTGGTCCAGGTTCTATATGTTTGTTATGAGTAAGTTACATATCTTGAAACCTGGAAATAGACTTTGTTCTTTTTTATACTAAGTTTATATAACCTAAGGTTTGAGAGTAATGGACCCTGTACCTAGATCGACATTTGATGACAAGTGGCAAAGCACCTATATTCTGTATTTTATTATACAAGTAATAATGAATTAGCATGCCTTGCTTGCAAGGGAATATTTCATCTAATCTTTAATTTATGAATGCGTTACATACCTTGCTTCAGTCGGTGAAGAAAATCTTAACTTTATTCTAATATATATGAGTAAGCTATATACCTTACTCCTGGGGAAGGGATTCTTTACTTTATTCTATTGAGTAAGCTACATAACATCCATCTGGGAAAGGGATTCTTTACTTAATTCTATTGAGTAAGCTACATACCTTCCATCTTTGAAAGGGAATCTTTACTTTGTTCTATTGAGTAAGCTACATCCCTTCCATCTTGGAAAGGGAATCTTTACTTTGTTCTATTGAGTAAGCTTCATACCTTTTTGTTCTATTGAGTAAGCTTCATACCTTCCATCTTGGAAAGGGAATCTTTACTTTGTTCTATTCAGTAAGCTTCATCCCTTCCATCTTGGAAAGGAAATCTTTACTTTGTTCTATTGAGTAAGCTTCATACCTTCCATCTTGGAAAGGGAATCTTTACTTTGTTCTATTGAGTAAGCTTCATACCTTCCATCTGGGAAAGGGATTGAGTAGGCTACATACCTTACTCTTGGGAAAGGGATTCGTTATTTTATTCTATTTAGTAAGCTACAATATATATATATATATATAATAAGGAGATGTGGTATGATTGCCAATGAGACAACTATTCATCAAAGTTCAAATGAGGTGGATGTAAGCAATTATAAGCAACCGTACGACCGTTAACAATGAGAAAAACCCATACAAGCCTTCCTCCTCGGGAAAGGGATTCTTTAATTTATTCTATCGAGTAAACCACATGCCTCACTCCTGGGGAAGGGATTCTTGACTTTATTCAATGAGTAATCTACATACCTTCCTCCTGAGGAAGGGATTCTTCACTTTATTCTATTGAGTAAGCTACATGCCTTCCTCCTGGGAAAGGGATTTTGTACTTTATTCTATTGAGTAAGCTACATGCCTTCCTCCTGTGAAAGGGATTTTGTACTGTATTCTATTGAGTAATCTACATACCTTCCTCCTGGGAAAGGGATTTTGTACTGTATTCTATTGAGTAAGCTACATGCCTTCCTCCTGGGAAAGGGATTTTGTACTGTATTCTATTGCGTAATCTACATACCTTCCTCCTGGGAAAGGGATTTTGTACTGTATTCTATTGAGTAAGCTACATGCCTTCCTCCTGGGAAAGGGATTTTGTACTGTATTCTATTGAGTAATCTACATACCTTCCTCCTGGGAAAGGGATTTTGTACTGTATTCTATTGAGTAAGCTACATGCCTTCCTCCTGGGAAAGGGATTTTGTACTTTATTCTATTGAGTAAGCTACATGCCTTTCTCCTGGGAAAGGGATTTTGTACTGTATTCTATTGATTAAGCTACATGCCTTCCTCCTGGGAAAGGGATTTTGTACTGTATTCTATTGAGTAAGATACATGCCTTCCTCCTGGGAAAGGGATTTTGTACTTTATTCTATTGAGTAAGATACATGCCTTCCTCCTGGGAAAGGGATTTTGTACTGTATTCTATTGAGTAAGATACATACCTTCCTCCTGGGAAAGGGATTTTGTACTTTATTCTATTGAGTAAGCTACATGCCTTCCTCCTGGGAAAGGGATTTTGTACTGTATTCTATTGAGTAAGATACATGCCTTCCTCCTGGGAAAGGGGTTTTGTACTTTATTCTATTGAGTAAGCTACATGCCTTCCTCCTGGGAAAGGGGTTTTGTACTGTATTCTATTGAGTAAGCTACATGCCTTCCTCCTGGGAAAGGGATTTTGTACTTTATTCTATTGAGTAAGCTACATGCCTTCCTCCTGTGAAAGGGATTTTGTACTGTATTCTATTGAGTAATCTACATACCTTCCTCCTGGGAAAGGGATTTTGTACTGTATTCTATTGAGTAAGCTACATGCCTTCCTCCTGGGAAAGGGATTTTGTACTGTATTCTATTGCGTAATCTACATACCTTCCTCCTGGGAAAGGGATTTTGTACTGTATTCTATTGAGTAAGCTACATGCCTTCCTCCTGGGAAAGGGATTTTGTACTGTATTCTATTGAGTAATCTACATACCTTCCTCCTGGGAAAGGGATTTTGTACTGTATTCTATTGAGTAAGCTACATGCCTTCCTCCTGGGAAAGGGATTTTGTACTTTATTCTATTGAGTAAGCTACATGCCTTCCTCCTGGGAAAGGGATTTTGTACTGTATTCTATTGATTAAGCTACATGCCTTCCTCCTGGGAAAGGGATTTTGTACTGTATTCTATTGAGTAAGATACATGCCTTCCTCCTGGGAAAGGGATTTTGTACTTTATTCTATTGAGTAAGATACATGCCTTCCTCCTGGGAAAGGGATTTTGTACTGTATTCTATTGAGTAAGATACATACCTTCCTCCTGGGAAAGGGATTTTGTACTTTATTCTATTGAGTAAGCTACATGCCTTCCTCCTGGGAAAGGGATTTTGTACTGTATTCTATTGAGTAAGATACATGCCTTCCTCCTGGGAAAGGGGTTTTGTACTTTATTCTATTGAGTAAGCTACATGCCTTCCTCCTGGGAAAGGGGTTTTGTACTGTATTCTATTGAGTAAGCTACATGCCTTCCTCCTGGGAAAGGGATTTTGTACTTTATTCTATTGAGTAAGATACATGCCTTCCTCCTGGGAAAGGGATTTTGTACTTTATTCTATTGAGTAAGATACATGCCTTCCTCCTGGGAAAGGGATTTTGTTCTTTATTCTATTGAGTAAGCTACATGCCTTCCTCCTGGGAAAGGGATTTTGTTCTTTATTCTATTGAGTAAGCTACAAGCCTTCCTCCTGGGAAAGGGATTTTGTACTTTATTCTATTGAGTAAGATACATGCCTTCCTCCTGGGAAAGGGATTTTGTTCTTTATTCTATTGAGTAAGCTACATGCCTTCCTCCTGGGAAAGGGATTTTGTACTTTATTCTATTGAGTAAGATACATGCCTTCCTCTTGGAAAGGGATTTTGTTCTTTATTCTATTGAGTAAGCTACATGCCTTCCTCCTGGGAAAGGGATTTTGTACTTTATTCTATTGAGTGAGCTACATGCCTTCCTCCTGGGAAAGGGATTCTTCACTTTATTCTATTGAGTAAGCTACATGCCTTCCTCCTGGGAAAGGGATTTTGTTCTTTATTCTATTGAGTAAGCTACATGCCTTCCTCCTGGGAAAGGGATTTTGTACTTTATTCTATTGAGTAAGATACATGCCTTCCTCTTGGAAAGGGATTTTGTTCTTTATTCTATTGAGTAAGCTACATGCCTTCCTCCTGGGAAAGGGGTTTTGTACTTTATTCTATTGAGTAGGCTATATGCCTTCCTCCTGGGAAAGGGATTTTGTATTTTATTCTATTGAGTAATCTACATACCTTCCTCCTGTGGAAGGGATTTTGTACTGTATTCTATTGAGTAAGCTACATACCTTCCTCCTGGGAAAGGGGTTTTGTACTTTATTCTATTGAGTAATCTACATACCTTCCTCCTGTGGAAGGGATTGTGTACTGTATTCTATTGAGTAAGCTACATACCTTCCTCCTGGGAAAGGGGTTTTGTATTTTATTCTATTGAGTAAGCTACATACCTTCCTCCTGGGAAAGGGATTCTTCACTTTATTCTATTGA